TCCGTCACATCTGACGCGGCCGACGGCGAGTTCGTCTGCTGAGTTCGAGATTTCTTGTCGGCCGTTATGGCCATGGCGGCGGCCGCGGCAGCACTGGCGGCCGACGTCGTCCACGAAGATACATCCTGGAAATCCTCCCACGAGGTTTTTTCCAGGCAGGCCACGATGCGAGAAGCAATGCTCATCTGGGACAGCTCCTTCACGGGCACAGCGTTGAACATGGACGAGAAGTTGCTCCCATTTGTGACGTTGGCCACCGACTCGCTCTGGCCGCAGAAAGTCACTGAGAACATCATGGCCATCATCATAGCCAGGTTCTTCTTGGCCGCGTGGATCTCGTGATGCGACTGTGTCTGCGCCTCAATCTTCTGACGCTGCTCCTCCTCGGCCAAAGCGGCCGCCACGGGGTCTTCACTGATCGGGGTCAGGCCGTACGCGGCCAAAGGAGATTCGTCCAGGTCGCACAGCAGGTCCTCGCCCACCATGGCCTCGTCCATGTCTTCCAGACAGGCGGCCCAGTCAACGGCCGGCTCATTGGGAACCATAACGGACTCAGCGTGTGCAACCTTCTCGAGAGGAACAGGTTCCGCCTTGATCTGTGGCTCCTGCTCGATGCTTTCCTTGCGGCCGAGTTTCTGCTTAAGCTGCTCGCTCTCGACGGCCATTGCCGCAAGCTGGTCCTGCAGAGCCTTAAGCTCCTTCTCCTTGGCCTGCAGCTGGTCTTCCAGCTGCCCCACGTACGCTTTTTTGCGCTCACGGTGGAGCTGTGCCGACATGCGGTTGCGAATGAGGCGACGCTTCTTCTTAGCCTCCTTCGAGTCCGGGTCCAAGTGCTCCAGCTGCGCCTCCATAGCGCGCAGACGCTCCTCACCGCTAGGGTCCAGAGCAGCCTCTGTCTTGAGCTTTTTGCTGGCACTGGCGTGGGTCACATCGGCCGCCTCGAGCGGCTTGCGCTTGTCGCGGCGCGCGTTCACGCGGGCCATGCGTTGAGCCTTGCCCGAGTCCGAGTCGGAAGCGGACGAGGACGTCGACGGGGACGACGGGGGCTCGAGCTTGATGAGTCGCTCGCAGGCTGACACGGAGGGGGCCGCGGCCGACGGCGGCAGGCGGATCTGGTCCACGGGCTGCACAGCCTCCGTCGTAGTTTTCCGCTGCTGAGCGCCGTTGGCGCTAGCGGTATTTTGCCAAATAGTGCGGATAAAATCGGTCATGTTCGACGCTTTCTCTTTTATGCGTGAATGGAAAAGTGTTCTAAAGCGACAGGGAGCGATGAGAGCAAGTAGTTAGTGAGCTGTACTGTAATAAGACAGGCCGTTTCGTCTTGGGGGAGACGCGGGTGCCGTTGGATGAGTGAGCCGAGGGCAAACATACCTTAGCTTCCAAAGTGCGGGGTGATCCCTTCCTATCGGTGTTGCTTCTTATTTGAGGGGCTTACCTCCTCCGATTCCTTTTCCCTTTTGACCTCTGGATTTGGCCGGCGCTTTGATGTGCGTGCGAGGTGCACAGTGCGAAGCATTTAAAAAACCTCACTTCAAGCCCCGGTTATGCTACCGATCTTTGGTGTACCCCACACAATCCCCACACGTTCCTTCTGGAATCGAGGTTTTTCAGAAAGATACATGCTGACTTCTTCGACGTTTACCTCAAAGATCGCCAATGGCTGGCCACCGTCTGGCAGTCGTAAGATGGCAATGCAGGCTGTGATCTCCTCCATATGCCCGGTTCATCGAACACCTTGATGCGATGGCTACCGCTTGGCATGCAGAGACTCTCTGAGAGAGAGAGAGCTGTGCTGCGGCCTCTGTCGCGATCAGCCCCGTCTTTCACAAGAATCTTCCTGCTGCGCTCAGGAGTGATGTTTGTTGCGTTGTCAAGCCCCAGTACGGTCGTGCGATTGTGTGACAATTTCCGCGATTCGGCAACGGTCCGAATGGCACTCAAAAGTTTACTTTAGAGATGGCGTGCTGCGCTCGCTTCCATCCAGATGGTGCGTTCCGTTAGGAGCTTCGGCGATTATGGACACCACTGCGCCAGCACCGTGAGCACACGCATAGGTGAGCTGAAGGGTACTCGCACTGTTATAAATAACCTCGCAGAGCGCTGGGGAGCAACTTGCTCAGCAAAGTCCTTCTCGTTCAGGAAGCCGCTCGCAACACACCGAGGGCGTCGCAGCTCAGGTTTGCCGCTTTGTTGCCTGGCTGTCACCATCTTGGTGTGGCACGACGAAACGATCATGACCCGCACAAATTGCTCGAATGTGACAACAACGTTGCTTCATGAAGTCGTCTGGATGGTCTCATTCCTCCGCGCCATTTGCTAGGCAGCACCCTACAGTAAGAGCAGTTTAAAAGTTTGTATCTCGTCAATTGACAGCAGCAGCGCGAACCACCGCTGCGCCCAAACTCGTATCTTGCGGATGGATACTTGCACGACAGCTTCGTTGCCGCCAGCGGGATTTCCAGCCTCAACTTGTGCCGCGGACGGGGCGGCAGTGGACAATGCTGCATCGTCAATGCGGGTCAGTGACCCGGTCACGCTCCTTTGTCTGATTTATCCTGGGGCAAAGATTATTCTACGAGTAACTGTCGAGTTCGATTGCCATAGCTCGAGAGATCTTGTAACAACATCAAGAGCGGCGTGCAGGTGCAGCATTCTCCATGCGCTGTGGCAACGGAGCAAGTCGATGCTCGATCGTCCAAAATAGCGGAGCCGAAGCCATCTCGTTGTGCAACGCAGAAAATCCGCTCGTCGAATATAAAGTGCCCGACGAACCCTTACCGGTCCTTGCAATCTGCGCGATGGTGTCCTACGGCAAACTGGTACATACAGACGTGCGACTTGTTTCGCAACTCACCGAGTAAGAAAAGATAAGGCCATCTTATGAAGGTATCGAGCAGTTATGGGGCCAGAAAGTTTCGAAACCAACAACGTTCTTTCGCGTCACCTTTCACGCGCCTAGGCAAGCTCGCTACGCCATCATAACCAATGTACATTCCAGTACATGTACAGTCGCCCTTACTTGAGACGATACTATTATAAGCGCTTCTTCTACATTGTAGTTCTACATTGCAGAAGCAGCACTTAGTATCGTGTAGTTCTACATTGTAGAAGCAGCACTTAGTATCGTCTCAAGTAAGAGCGACTGTGCATGTACTGTGTTGCACTGCAACGTCAAGCTGGCTTTTTATCCTAGTAAAGGTGTGAGCATATCATAGGACGTCACTCTAACCGATGGTGTTTACCACACAACCTGCGTCTGCCACACCACTTTTGCCGGCCTTTTCGTTCAAAACGGGCGTGTGCGTGGAATCCGGCGTACACTCGGTACGTGGAGGGGATGCCTCCCTCTCAGTCTTAAAGCGCGCCTGGGAGCTACGGCGCTTCTTCCATTTCCCACAATGCACTCTTATTCCTGCTAACCTGAAAATCCCGCCAATTTTCTGCCAGACAGTGAAGCTAACTGCCACACGTTCGGGAGCTACCGAGATATCAGCAGCTACTGCGCCATCGACCCAGCAGAATCCAGCTACAGCGCAGCCTGTAACAGCCCAGCCAGTGCGCCGATGGAAACTACAGCAGATGGACAACCTTCCAGCGAGGATATGGTGCGTAGTGACCCAACTGCCAGCTGTTGAAGCTGCCCGATGCCACGATTGTCATTGGCAGCATTAGATAACACCGTTTTGACTCTAATTGCGCTTGTTGCAGCCAGCCACGTCACCTCCGCAGGGAGCGACGACCAACCCATTCAAGTCTGCGCTGCACAAGTTCGCGCAGAA